AGTAGTTATTCTATTATTAAATGAGAAGAAAAAATTATTTAATTAGTAATTTTAAAAAATTATCGTAATGCCTTAAAGTTCTTTAACACTATTTACTTTGAAGATTCTGGCCATCCTCAAGATGCCCAATTCTGTAGGTTTCCAAATACTGGTCAACCATAGGATACTATAATTATTAAAAGTGAAGAAAAAATTATTTTAATTAGCAATTTTATAAAAACTATCATAATTCTTAAAAGTTCCTCAACGCTCTTACTTTGACGATCTAGTAGAGCCAGTGTTGGCCACCTTTATAAGTCCAATTATTTTTGACTGGTCTTGAGCTATAAGTCTAATCACAGGACTTGTATGTCCAGTTAGTCCATTTTGGTCGAAGGGATCATTTTCGAACACGCCTCAGCGGGCGACCGATCACTAGCACACAAAAAAAAAAAAAAAACTATTGGATGGGCGTTAATCCTTGAATCGACCAATCGAAACAGAGAAAATTTTTTTACGAAATCGTTAATTTAACTGGTTAATTAATTTATTTTAGCATTTTTTAAACTTATCAATAACTTCAAAGTCATTAAATTACTAAAAGGAGTAGAGTAGGGTTGAACATATTTGATTTACATTGATATTAATAATTCATTCATTAAAGGATCCTATCTCTAACTTGAACATCAAAATGAATTCACCAAGTTGGTACGCTTGCTGGATATTTATATGGCGGCAACAGATTATGAAGCTTAAGGTTATCGTGTTTTAGGTGATTATTTTAATAGATTTAATATTAAATAATCTCAATAATCTTTTATCTTTTTAGCAATTTAATCCCATGTTGTACAAACAAGATATTCAATATTTTATATTTAATGATCTCGCGTGTTGCAAAAAGTTTTGATTAAACCGATTAAGTTTGGTTTGTCATACATTTATGATGAATGCAATTGAAAAAAAATCTGGCATTCGTTTTTCGTTCGCTATTCTTAAAATGATTCTGTTGCAGTCACTTAGAAGACAAAATATACATTAACTACTAAAGTCAATGGAGGATTGCAGTCTTCAATATAATATATTTATTTAATGATTTATTTGCGATCTCGTAG